AACGGTGTAAATGTTTCAGTTTATCACTTAATTGTAATATCAGGTGCAAATGTACAAATTGTGAAAATGTCAATGTCATAGCCAATGATAACTGTTTGGAAGAATTACATGTAAATAGTGATGTGGAGTTAGTAACCGATAATTCTGATGATGAGAGGAGTGATAATGATGTAGAAGTTCAAATGTATGTCGACAATTGCCTTTATGAAGAGCATGCTCCACAAGACATTTAGATGCATGATTTAGATGTAGGTGTATGAGTAAAAGAGAGAGATATTATGTATATATGTACATATGTACATATGATCATATTTCATGCAGTATGCACACAGTCAACATCCCACACACACATCATGCAAGGGGAAACCTTAAACCATGTTACCATGTTGCCTGGTCAACTCCCACCCTGTACTCAAACAAGGACTAGAGACATCCGTAAGATAACTATGCTAACAATTATTATGGGTTAGTATTTGCTAATAATAGGAGCCTCATTTCAACTTTGATTTCGATAGTCTAATAACAGAGTACTGTGAGCTATTAAGATCAATTGTACCATACGAAAGTGAAGTGAGTGTATGCGTATATATGCAATGATTTTATAATACAATTACATGTACAGGTATATTATAGAGAGAGAGACATTAGCTATTTATGAGATGTTTGGGGAAGCAGAGCAGTTCCTTTATCAAGCAAGAGTTGTTTTTTATTATCAATTTTATTTTGATTTTTGTATGCCAAGATACTACATGTAGGCCTTCAAGAAAGACCAGTTCACCCCAGATGATCATATTTCATGCAGTATGCACACAGACAACATCCCACACACACGTCATGCAAGGGGAAACAAAATGAATGGGGAGGCATGGGTGTGCCTATTCACCTGCTGTGTAACTTGAACAGTTCATTAGTGACTATTATTATTAAGTGTCAGAAGAACCTCATATCAAAAAGAGGACATTCTTATCTGAGAAATTGGATTTAAAGTCCTTATCTAGTATCCTGGAACAGCCCAAGGTTTGACACTGTGTGTCTGGGGCTAAACCATGGGAAGACTCTGGATCAAGTTCTGTGCAAGATAGCTCCATGGCAGCATTAAGGAAGCTTCACCTGGTCAACTCCAACCCTCTAGATGTTCCTAGGTGTTCATCCAGATCAAGATGTCTTGCATCTATCGAATCTCAAGATCAGATCATTGTAAGACTAATGGAATGATATTGTGAGCTGATTGACTAATTGAGATTCTTGTTGTTATTATTATCATGGTGTTTCTTTTAATTTCTTTGTTTGTGTATTACCTGCTAGCTGTGAAAAAGAGAATATTGATTTGTACACTTTTTGTTTATTGTAGTTTATTTTAAACTTGGACTCCCAATCCTTATCTATGATCAGTCATGCTTTTATAATAATTGACAAAATACACCTGCAAAGGTTTTGTAACTTGATCATATTCATAAACCATAAAAACATGAATTCAATTAAGTCTTAATAATATTCATGAGCCATTGGCGATGAATTTCATTTACAAATACGTAACAGGAAGTGAAGCCATAGAGGATCTGCTGACAATAATGTAGGGCCTTCGTGTAGACTGAATGTAAATTTCTTAAAAAAAGTTAGCATCAAAGTTAAACTAAATTATTGTTCGTATAATCATCAAAGAGTCATCAAAAGTATTATGTCCTAAATTTAAAAGCAACATACAATGGATACAACATACAATTTAAGGAAAATAACCGTAACATCTATGTTCATTTTTTCACTTTGACTTTTTCATTTTGTTTAAAAATTCACAATGGTTATAAAAAATTAAAAACATTTCAAAAAATAAAATTAAATATCTAATAATAATAGAGTAAATTATCAATTTCCGGTGTTGGAGGGTGGTTGGACCCCCCTTCTATTTGGACCGGGGGTCCAAGCGCTCGCGAGTAGTTGGACCCCCGGTCCATACACTCCCTGAGCGCTTGGACACTCTGTTTGGACTCCCTTGGACCCCTCGCCCAGTCGCCCTTAACGTTTGGACCCCCTTCATGCCGTTTGACGCGCACTGGCAAGACACATGCTGATACCTCACAGTGGTAGCCATGATCATAACAGTGCCCTCTTGTCACCATAGATGCTTCTTAAAAGAGCAAAATTAAATTGCTGCAGCTAAACAGCCCTGCTATGCAGTATTGACAGATTTTATTTTGTTATTATTAAATTAAATTTAATTAGGTAATTGTTGTGTACAAAGCAGCAAGGATCTATTAAAAATATAGAACTAGATTATATAAATATAAAACTTACTTCTGGCCAAATAATAGTTTTAGAAAATCGACTAATTATTATGACAAGTTTACACAATACATCACTTTCAATTCCATTGATGTAGGTCAACAGTTCATCTATCTAGAAACAATATATAAATAGCAATTTTGGTTATTTATGATTAAGCCATCATATCATGTCATTTTCAATCCATTTGCAATAATCTATGAGGTAAATAAGTGACTTTTCCTCATACTTAGAAAATTCACTGATTCTATTTC